AATTGATAAATTTAAATTAATAATTCTTCATTGATGATTGATACAACAAATTGTTTATTAGTTATTCTAATTCAATTATTCTTTGGCTGGTTGGTTTCCTGCTGGCTTGCAAAAAACGATTGTTGAGTAGATTAGATTAGAAAGGGTATAATTGAATGTTAGTGGATGGTTAACATCAGTTTACTGTTTGGTCTACTCCACCTACCACTACATCTTCCTCGCCCGCTTATTTCATTATCATCCATTTTTATGTTCCTTTTAGTTATGATGTTGAACAGACGTAGAAAAGTTTTTTTGTTTCGTATGACCTTTTACAAAAATTATAGTTAGCTAGTTAGTTCGTTCATTGTTAACAACGTGCACACACAAACACGCAGTTGCTTATTCATTTATTTGGTTATATTAATTCTATTTATGCTAAAAGACAAAACAAATGTATGAAAGTGAATAAATTATAAACCCTAGTTCATATTTCATCCACCCAAGCATTAAAAACAAATTGGCTTCTATCATCTGCCCTGGAAAAGTTGACTGATAAATAATGCGCGTACGTAGAACTCATTTTTATTCACTCACGAGTTTTGCTTTTTTTCAAATGTCAAACAAGCCTGTCAACATAATTGGATTCAATGGTCTTTGGTGAAATCCAGTTAGAGTATTGCACATGTACGTGCGTTGAGGCGGTTGAGCTTTAAAGTTTATCTTCTGATTTTTGTTTCTTCATTTAAAACCATTAGCAATGTTACACATTTTGACTAACATACTTAAACATCTACGCATACATACATACATATAAATATATGCACACATACCAACATACCAACCCGCATACACATAAACACACAAATTTATAACCACGTGCACTATCGTAAAATTTGTTTTTAGCCCCAGAAAAAAAAAAACGAAAAAAAAATTTAGTGATGAATTTTAGCAAAAAAAACTCAACTGGAGTTTATTGCTTGACGCGTTCGAATGATGAATGGCGGAATGGGTAATTTGATGATTTTCAGCTTGCGAAAATGGCCCACTAAGGCGATAAGGCATGCCTAATTGATGCAAATAATGCTTGCAAGTATGATTTAGTCGCAGTAGTCATTTTTTAAATTTGAGGTTTCTGTCGTAGTATTAAAAGTTGGGGATTTCCACGATGGTAAAAAACTCAATGGTGCAATTTTACCTTCCAAAAATTAGGTGTAGGCTGGTAGGGAGAGGTCCTGGGCTGAAGCTGCCAAAGGTGACTGTTTCAGTTCCTCATTACAATTAAATTTTGTAAACTTTTGTATAGAAACACTTTTTTCTATTAAATATGGAAATTGTAAAAAAATATTGAATAAGCAAACCAAATTATCTCGTCAGTAACTGTATGTAGATAGCAGTAGTAAATTTTGTAACAGAATTAGTTTCAGTGGGCGTAGTATGATAATAATATTACATTTATATTATTTAAATAAATATTTTTTTACAACAAATTTATCTTATCACATCTGCCATCTTGTGAAGCATGTATAGAAGAAGGGAGCGCAAACAGAGTTCAGCAGACCTTGGAGTCAACTATCCTGGTGACCTCCTCTACCAAGTTCACCCACGTAAGAAACCCCTGACCACCAGGAACACTATTGCAGATTTTGCGGTGACAAAAGCCAGGCAGACATCTATGCTCAGTTTGTTGTCCGCTGCTGAACAGGGTTTCTGATTTTTTAAGATGGTTGTTTGATTGATTGATTGGATGGTTGGTTGATTGATTAGATGGTTGGTTGATTGATTAGATGGTTGGTTGATTGATTAGATGGTTGGTTGGTTGATTGATTGGATGGTTGGTTGATTGATTGGATGGTTGGTTGATTGATTGATTGGATGGTTGGTTGATTGATTGGATGGTTGGTTGATTGGATGCTTATTGATTGAATAGTTGTCTGGCTGCTAGTTTAACTGATGTACACATCACTATTCAATCCCACAGAAATTAATTGGGTTGTCAAAAGATGTTTTAAATTTTAAAAATACCTAAAAACGAAACCAGGATAAATGTAGTGAATGCGATACAAGGAAAATTTTTCAAATTTTTTCTTCATTTAATCTTGACTAATTAAAAAGATATGATTTGTTTCTAGCAAATTAATTTTTTATGAAACTATAGATTACTGTTTCTCTAACACTATATTGTGAAAATCTTTGGGCATTTATCGAAGAGTTGTGAAGTTATTAGTTTTATTCGTTCATTCATTCATTCATTCATTCATTCATTCATTCATTCATTCATTCATTCATTCATTCATTCATTCTTTCTTTCTTTCTATCCTTCCTTCTTTCGCTCAATCGTTCATTCATTCGGCAGCTACATGAACGTATAAACGTGCATTCAATCATTTGGTCACGTGTTGGTGCGTGCCAATTGTGATTGGTTGGCGGACATTTTTATCATTCCCATCATTCAGCTAACATTCTCATCATTTCATCATCTTATCATTTTATCATTAGGCCTTTTTCATAATTTCTATCAACATCTCCATCATATTTTAGTCATTATCGCCTTTGAATTTTCTTAATTTATCCTAATTAATTCATTCAACATGATAACGACGATGATGATTATGATGTGATGATGACAATTATGATTATGATGATGATGAAGACGACATGATAATGATGAAGATAATGGTGACGATGGTGATGACGATGATGGTGAAAGCATATGATGACGATGATGACAAATATAATGATGATAATGACGATGACGACGACGATGATGATGACGATGACGACGATGATGATGATGATATATTGTAGTTGGAAAAAATCGGAAAAAAAGTTTGGCAAAAAATGTATGTTTTGGTTGGTTCGGCACTTTAAACTAATTGCACATTAATGTTATGCCTACAAGATATGCCACACTTATTATTATTATTGCTGTTGTTGTTGTTGTTATTGTTGTTGTTGTTGTAGTTATTGCATTAAATGTTATGCAGGATTTGAAAATATTTTAAAACGCATTTAAATTTTTTTTAATTTCATTAATTTTTTTCCAGATAAAAAATTGAAGACACCTTTCTCTCTAATTAAATTGGTTATTCATTCATTCATTTATTCATTCATTTATTCGTTCGTTCGTTTGTTCTTTCGTTCGTTCATTCATTCGAGCATTCATTTGAGCATTCAGTCATTCATTCATTCGATCATTCATTCACTCATCCAATCGCAACAACAACAACAACAACAACAACAACAACAACAACAATAGAGAGATAAGAAAGGTCACTCACGTTCGAAAGACGGCAGTCCAGACATCATCGACGTCCTTCTTAACCTCAAAAGGTCAAGGTTCAAGGATGAATTTCTATCTACTTTCAAGGTCACCCGTTTATGTATGCATGTATGTAGGTTTAAAAGTTAAAGGTCATTTTCTTTTAATTATTTCTCTGAAGTATCAACAACAACACACACACAGTGTGTGCAAGTATGCGAGAAAACAACGCATCACGCACATTGCACGTGGTAAGCGGGTTTTCTTTGCAATCCAGCATGGTGACTGCAAATCAGGACGCAGCTTTAAACATTAGGCCATCACATGCATGTGTTTGTCTATGTATGTTTCTTGTATGTGTATGTGTGTGTGTACTGTGTGTGTATTTCGAGTGTGTATAAGTGATTTCATGTTTAAATAGTAGCACGAACATATTAGTTTACACGGCACTTGTACGTGTGCAATTGTGTTGCGTTTCTGTACGTACGCTGTTATTCTGTTTGCATAAAGAAATCATACAGTTTTCAAACGTTTTTCTTGAATGTTTTTTATTGTATGTTGTTTTTTATGTTTATATATGCAAGTGTATGTATAAATTCAAGTGTGTATGTATGTATGAATAATTGTATAAATAGGAGTGTATGTATGTATGTGTGTGTGTGTGTGTGTGTGCACGTATGCGTTGATGTTACGGGCAGTTCACGCAGGCACATGTGTTAATATGTATGATGTACCAACATAAGTTTGTTGTACGTGGGATGAATGTACAACTGTACTACTGGCTTGCCAGTTTCCATTATTTATGCTTTTAATTAATAAAGTGTTATAAGCCGGTCCATGCTTCCTATGTGCAGTTGACGAAAAATTCTTCGCATGTACGTGCGTACGTACAAGCGAGCTGTGTTGTTTTGTCATGTGTTTGCCTGTACGTGCTCTTATTTACATGTATGCGTTTATGTTGTTTATGAATGTTACATATGTGTATGTTTTGTATGTGTGCGTGTTGTATGTGTATGTGTGTGTGTGTTTGTGTTTGTGTTTGTGTGTGCGTGATTTCAACTTTTCATCAAACATCTTAAAAATGCACACCCACTATTTCTCATATCTTCACGCATCAACGAAACGTGCAGGGTCGAAATGAAGACAGGAGTTAGTTGTGGACTACTTTTTTGTGTCCTCCATAAAAGCCAAAAAGTAACTTTAACATAATTATTTGTCAAAAATACTAGTTTGGAATGAGAAATTGTTGAAGAATTGGACAAATAAATTATAGGATCTTCACAAATAGTTACACATCTTCACTAAATATTAGAAAGGAGTTTCTAATTCTTCGTTGCGACGAGGCCTCCAAACTGTAAGTCACTAAAATATC